GATACCATCTCAAACCAGTTAAAATGGCCATCATTAAAAAGTCAGGAAACAACAGGTGCTGGAGAGAATGTGAAGAAATAGGAACACCTTTACACTGCTGGTGGGACTGTAAACTAGTTCAACCATTGTGGAAGACAGTGTGGTGATTCCTCAAGGATCTAAAACAAGAAATACCATTTGACCCAGCCATCCCATTACTGGGTATATACCCAAAGGATTATAAATCATGACGCTATAAAGACACATGCACACGTATGTTTATTGTGGCACTATTCACAATAGCAAAGACTTGGAACCAACCCAAATGTCCACCAATGATAGACTGGATTAAGAAAACGTGGCACATATACACCATGAAATCCTCTGCGACCATAACCAAGGATGAGTTCATGTCCTTTGAAGGGACATGGATGAAGCTGGAAACCATCATTCTTAGCAAACTATTGCAAGGACAATAAAACCAAACACCGCATGTTCTCACTCACAGGTGGGAATTGAACAACGAGAACACTTGGACACAGGGTGGGGAATATCACACACTGGGGCCTGTCATGGGGTAGGGGGAGTTGAGAGGGATAGCATTAGGAGATATACCTAATGTAAATGATGAGTTGATGGGTGCAGCACACCAACATGACACATGTATACATATGTAAGAAACCTGCACATTGTGCACATGTACCCTAGAACTTAAAGTATTAAAAAGTAATAATAATAGTCTCCCCAAAGGCAGTTCAGGGGAAGGAAGAATAAAGACAGGCTATCAGAAGCTATCCATGAAGGAAAGAAAAAATATCAATAAATGGCAGAGTTACAAAAATTACAAACCGGAAAGAAATCAATCCTGAAGCTGAGAATTGAAGCTGAGAATTGAAACTGGGCTGCCATGTTCAAAGGACAAAGCCTTAACTATTAAGCTAAATAGCATTGAGCAGTTTCTTTTGCTCTTCCCAGAAGGAGTTTAGAGCAGCCAATTTCAACTTTGCAAAGACTTTTAACTGCCCAAGAATTTTAGGGCTTACCATGATACAAACTCAAAATTCTTGTCTTCTGGTGGATGGTAGTAACCAAGAGAAAGTGTCTCTGAAAGACACAAAGCAAAACAGAAATTTCATTCGGTATTGGCTTCAGGGAACTGCAGCAAAGTTTGTAAATAGCCAGCCTACAGGACTGGCTTGAAAAGTAGGTTTATAGGGGTCCTAAACCTGCATTATATCCTGTGATATCCCTCTGTCCATCAAAGAACACAGAGAAAACAAACTCTTTGCGCAAAGTACACTAGACTTGCTACACCATAAGACTAGTCTCACAAATCCTTTTTCCTAATAATCAAATCCTTGCAGAGGAGACAAACAGTGATGCTTGCCATTTAAACAAAAACACGCAGAGTGACAGAGAGAGAGGAGAGAGAGAGAGAGAGAGAGAGAAAGGTTAGCAACTTGGCTGCTAAGAAATTCTTACCCTTTTTGCTGGCCTACCAGGTTTCTGGGTTCCCTTTCTCTGTAGCTTCCAGAAGAGCAGAGTCACTTTGATGACTCTGCTCCCTGTACCATAGCTGTGTGGGTCAAGCCCCAGTAGAAAAGAAAATCATCCTTTTATGTTTTATGATTCCATAGGCAAAAGCTTCTTAATTTTGCAAGATGTTGCCCAATGGGCTGCATGTGGAACCAAATTAACATTTTCCATCCCAGACAAAGAAAAATACATATAACAAAACAGACACTAGTCACTTCATTCAGCACCCAACATCCACCAGGCAAGGCTCAAACTTTCTCCCATTAGTTCCTGTCATACTTAATTCACTCAAGGTTGGGAAGGATGACTCTAACCAGGAATTCAGTGGATGGTCTCCAGGCAAGATGAAGGATCATCACCCCAAATCAGTTCTTATAAGGCTTTTTTCAGGGCTCCACTAAATGTGATCCAACTTGCAGAGGGTCTCCAAATTAGGCCTGACGGACTTCTGTTAGCAATTCCTTCAGTGATCCCCTCCACAAATATGAACACACAAACAAGAATAAGAGGGAGAGAAGGCCTTCCAAATCAAGATCCCTAATCGATCCCTAATCAAGAATTCCAACATTATTCCTTCCAAACTAACCTCCTATTCTCTGTCTGAAAAGTCTCCCCCAAATCTTCCAAACTGAGGAGAAGACTCTTCCTACTAATTAGGGAGAGCCAACTGAGACCCCCAGAGGAGCTGAACTAACTGGAGGAAGGAAGGAGGTGTTGGCAGCACCTAGAATATTTACCAAATCAGATACCTGGTAAAAGAACTTGTATTAGTCTGTTCTCATGCTGCTATATAACACTTCCCTGAAACTGGATAATTTATAGAGGAAAAGAGGTTTAATTGACACAGTTCCACATGGTTGGGGAGGCTTCAAGAAACTTATGCCCATGGAGCAAGGAGAAGCAGGCACCTTCTTCACAAGGCAGCAGCAGAGGGAAGAGCATGTGAAGGAGGAACTGTCACTTACAAAACCATCAGATCTTATGAGAACTCACTCATTGTCACCAGAAAAACATGGGTGAACCAACCTTATGATCCAATCACCTCCTTCCCTCAACACATGAGGATTACAGGTCCCAGCCTTGATATATGGGGATTACAATCTGAGATGAAATTTGGGTGAGGACACAGAACCAAACCATATTAGGGCTACAGGTATAGCCACTCCATGATGGATGGGGCTACAGACAGACACTCCATGATGGGGCTACAGACACCCTCTGGTAAGCTACAGATAGACACCTCACCATGGGGCTATAGACAGACACCCCACCATGGAACTGCAGTTGTATGATGTCTCCCCAGGACCATTTCTCTGTTTCAATTAAGTCCATGCACATTGGATGGACAGCACCTTGCCAGAAGACATAGGATCAGAGTCAGTCCCCAGTCCAAGAGAACTGGGTGGCCACTTGGGCTGGCCTCTGGATCTGTCACTGTATGGGGGCTACCAAACCATGGGCAGGTAGCCACAAGGGCAGTCATGGAGGAGCCCCCAAATTTGTAACCACCCACTGGATTTACCTTGCCTGCTGCCTAGACAGATTCTATTTATCAAGACAGGGGAATTGCAGTAGAGAAAGAGTAATTCATGAAGAGCCAGCTGTGTGGAAGACTGGAGTTTTATTATTACTCAAATCAGCCTCTCTTTGTGGTATTTATCCTTGACCCATGGATTTAGAAATGTTTCTGTTTTTTTTGTTTTTCTTTTTGTTCATTTCCAAACATATGGGTGTCTTTAAGTTACCTTTTTGTTGCTCATTTCGACTTTATTTCCACTGATGACAGGGAATATATCCTGTATAAGTTCAGTCTTCTGACATTTGTTACATCTTGATTTATACTCTAACAAACCTTAAATGATGTTAAATATTGAGTTTGATCTTGATATAAAATTTGCAGTTTCGGCATTTATTATCAATTAAGCCCAGATTTTAGTCACCTTGTTGAAATCTTCAGTTTTGAACAAACAAAATCTATTAGCTTCTGTTAGTATTAGTTTTTAAGATAAATATGTTAAAATATGCAGCTAAAGTTTTTGCATTTATTTACTTTTACTCTTAGCAAGTGATTGACAGTATTAATAATCTCAGATTATTTTATATATTTATATATATTAATAATTCCAGATTATTATATTGGGCTGTCTTCTTTACCTTGGCTGTATAATATTTATAAGCAGAGTTTTTTAAAATTTTTTTCTAATTATTCTCAGTATACTTTATGTACATTTACTAGTGCATCATTGCCTGAAGATGAGATTCTGATTTTTTCTTTTCCTATGTTTTTTATTAGCTGCTTATCCTACTCATTGGTATTAAGTTAATTTACCTAACAATGTTGTTTTGTTTCTTAATGTTTTTTTTTTTTTTTCACTTGGATATTTTTGAAGACCATTTTCACTGTGGTCTCTAAATATTAATTAACAACGTTAACATTTTTAAACATACATATTGTATAACATTTGAACTTTTTTCTGTTACATCTACTTATGTGGGTGTACTGATGCTCTCATCTTTGGTATTCTTTAATTATTTCCTTTTTTTTTTTTTTTTTTTTTTACATATTTTGTTAGTGTTTACTTGTTCTTCTTCAGCTTAACTTTTGTTTGTTTTGTTTTTCCTGCAAAATCCCATGTTCCCTGGATTGCAAATGAATCTCTGCAGTGAAGTTTACTGCCTGCTTTTACTGGGCAACTGCTTTTTGAACTACCTCTAGAATTTGCGTCCTTTGGTTTTATTCCAAGTAGACTAGAATAAGTATAAGGAAGCAATCACTTTGACATCCCCGTAGTTTTCTGTTTTTCTAGGATAAACTTTAGTTTAATAGATTCTAAGAACACAAAGCTATTCTGTGGCTCTTTCTAATTTTGCATAATTTTCTTGGTAGATGGCACCTAATTTTGTGTCCTGAACATGACGAAATGGAGATATAAAAGATTACATCTTGAGGAATGTACACTCCACCTGATTTTTTTTAGAAAATAAGAGGCATTGGAATTTTTCCATATTTGGAGCAGTCTAGACATAACCTGTGGATTTACCCTGGTTATGAAATCACCCTATACCTAAACAAATAAAGTATTTCTTAGATTTTATTTAGTTTTAATGCTATTCTCTCTTGCTTAAAGTAATAACACTAGTTTTGGAAATAGTGTATTTTGTTTTGAGTTCTGAAACTGACACTCACAATTGTATTGAGTGATGTGACAAACACTTACAATATGTCAAGCCATATTATCACATCATTTGGTACCGAGAATATAGAAATGAGTCAAAGAGAAAGTGTTTCATCTTAATAAATCTTGCAGCAGTATGTAATACTGGAAAGTTATTAAGTTTCACTAAACCACATTACAAATAAATTTATATTATGGAAATAATACTTGCTCTATTTAACTCAAAGGGACTTCATGAAGTGGAAATTAGTACAAGGGAAATCACATATATAAAATCATGTAGAAGAAAACTAAAAATGTACCTTTATTTTACTTTTTTATTTTCATAAATTACAGTAGCTTAAATTATTACGTTATCTTCCAGATAAAGTACTGTACTCTCCCAGAAATTTGAATTCCAAGTTACTACTACCAAGCCTAACCATGTGATTACTCTTTACTGTTATCATATGCTCTTTGACATTACTCCATGAAAATTTTCAAATGGACTACCACCCCTTTTTTAATAGATTGGACTGACCACCTATCTTTCAAAACACTTGTTTAGTTAGGATTAATTGATTGTAAACTCTCCATCCATTTTTTCTTTAAGTTTTAGTTTTCTTCTTTGTTGTTTTGCTGTTTGGTAAATATAGTAAAATTAAAACATGCTTGCTATCTCTGATGTCGGAGCAACTCTTAAACTCATTGAGAATAACAGCAATTCTCTTTTCTTTATCCTTGTCAGAATGTCTTCTGAAATTCACTGTAAGTCAAACAATGTTTATTGAGTTACTATTAAGTGTTAGGCATTATCTAGACACAAGAGGTACAGAGATTAATAAACAGTTATCTACATTCAAGAAATTTATAATCTGTTGAAAGTAACAAATGTGTATGCAACTAAGTATATGATAAATAATAGAGGTATATGAGCCTGCTCAAAGTGCGATTCAAGCAGAGAGGAGGAAGCAATTTATTCTGACACAGGGAACTGGGAAATGCTTCATGGTACAGGTGGCAAAAGGGTTCAGTAATTAGTATATGGAGGAAATAATTTTTTCCATCCGTGTGCCTGCTGCTATAGTTTCTTGCTGGCAATGTAAGAGTTTTAAGGCTCCATTCAGGCCCAAGTAAATCTTTAAACACCTTCGAGTTTTAAGACATTTCACTTCTGGCCCATCAATAGTAAATTTACAACCTACAGGTCAGAACCAAAAGCTTTTCAAAGTGTAGTTGACAAATACCAGGGAGCATCTCACTTCATCATGGAAACTTTAAAACTTCTAAATGAACCTGGAGAACATGTGGTGCATTGCCTTCAATCGGGATTACTTTGACTCTTTCTCCCAAATTCCATGGGGAGTTAAAAACAAATTTCAGAGGGTCAAAATAATCCTAAAAGCCTCTTACAACAGCATGTAGGAAGCAATACTGAGTTCTCACAGTCTCAATATGACACAAATTTATATCGTGTCAAAACCCTAGAACTAATTTCGCAGCACACTAAATCTGGTGCAACTTCAGCTTGCAGTTTAAGATCCACTCATTATTTCCTTTATTATAACTGTATCCAGCAGTGACTTTAACTTTCTTTCCTGTTTATGAAATTTTTGGAATGAGTGAGAAAAACATGTATTGTTTTGTAATGCTTAGTAGTTGAAAGAATAGCTAATATTACGGTTATTTTTATGTTATTACATATTTGTGTAGAATCAGACAAATCTATGATTTTTATTAATTTTTTTAGCTTAACAGAAATGTATTTGCTCAAAGTTCTGGAGGCTAGAAGTCCCAGAGGCCTTTATTTCTGGCTTGCACACAGCCACTTCCTCACCATGTCCTTCCACGGGGAGTGGGGAGAGGTAGCACACAAGCTGTCTGGTCTCTTATGAGGACACAAATCCTAGTGGATCAGGGTCCACCCTTAATACACCACTTAATCTTAATCAACTCTTTATAGACCCTGTCCCCAAATACAGTTACAGTGGGGATTAGAGCTTCGTCTAATATTGCGGGGATGCAGTCAGTCCATTAGCGCTCTCCTTCCTGAGGGCTCTAACCACATAATGCACATAACTCATTTGTAGCCTGTATCACATGGTGCTTTTAAAATTTGAATTCCTGCTTATGAATGCTGATAAATGGATCACTTGTTTTTATATTAGGCCTGTAAATTTACGTCTTTGTAAAGATGATTATATTTAAAGATGTAGTAACTCATAGAAGTAAAATGAGTTGAAAATTTCAGTTAAGCAACCCATCCAGAAATAGAATACTATTGCTACTCTGTCTTTGCTATATGTGGGTCTGTTTTTAAACATATTCACTTCAGGATCTAATAATTGCCTTGTTATTGTTGCTGTTGTACTAACTAGTGAGTTTGTCAGTTCTTTGGATTTTGTAGTTTCTATGCTGCTGTTAGGCACTTGAGTAGATTACTGCACAACCACAATAATATTCGATATCTTATAATTATGAATACTGTGAAAATATTCATTTAACTTGCAAAAAATGTGAAATATAAACCATATTTTATTTTGATTTTTTTCCTACTGTTTCTTATATTTTATACACAATGGCAGTAGGATTTTCACTGCTTTCCTAGATGTTCTAAAGAATAATTTCATATTTATTCATGAGGAAACAAAAAGAATTTAGCTGAACATAAATCTTTTCTTGGTAAAGGTGGCATATCCTGATTTGAAATAACTCTTCTGAAGTTTCTTCTTTCTAGAAAATATATTCTTTTAATTTTTCAAAAAATATTCTGTTTGTTTTCTCTTATGTTTAATAAATATTTTTTACATATTTATTAAGTATAATTTCCAGAGGCAATATATATATAATCATACATATAAATGCTTATATAATAATGTATTAAATGACTTACTTAATGAAATTTGGGTTTTTACAATACTTTCTTCCTCGGTCTGTAGTATCAAAAAGTATGCTTTTGAAATAAAAGTCACAATATTCACACACCGCTATGCACATAACCATAAGTATACTCTTTTCTTGATATTTAAAAACAGATATTGAATCTTATTCAATGTTGATAAGGTAATTGGTGACAAATGGTAATTTTAAAAGTCCTTTATTGTTACTATACATAGACTGTTTTTCTTGTCCAGTAGAACTATAAGAATCAGACCTTAAATGATATCTATGAAATATTGCTTGATTGATAATATTTCTCCCTTATATCTTTTACATTAATTGGTGCTGAAATGTACAAAAAAAATTTATTGTAGAAAGAAAAGGAAAATTCTATATGGATAATATAGGCAATTGTCTCTCTGATATTTAGGGCAATATAAAAAATCTGCCATACTGCCCTACTTCTTTACCTCAGTCCCACCCCTCAAGAACTAGAAGACAAGAATACTTTAGAGACACAGACAGAGAGGGACAGGTTAGATCACTAGATTGATATGAGTTGGTTTTAGATAAAGCAGTTTCTGAGAGAGAGTGGGAGGGAAATTGCAATGGAGTTGTAGGAGTAGAAATGGGGATATTTGGAATACAATTATTAGAAGGGGTCAGTTCTGTGGAAATCTAGGGCATAACAGAGAAAAAAAAGAAAGGAGAAAGGAGATGATAAAAAGAATACATATGATTAGGATAAAAGAAATCCTATTTGCACTCTTGCATGAAGCTGATCTTCCCCTGAGGTCTGAGCATAATTAGAGGGCAAACAAGACAATTAGGTCTTGCAGATTGATATTTTACATAGATCCCTGCTTAGCTACTTACTCTTTTATTGTTCCTCCAGGAAATCTAAATATTCATGTTTTAAATCATGTCCTAACTTGTTTTTTGAGATGGTATCTATGAAAATATTTCTTCATTATTTCTCCATAAAGATGTTGTTAGAAAAAATAATATTTTAGTAGCAATTGCAATTTTACTGAGAAATGATTACACAAAACTTAATTATAAGGCAATCAGAATTGTGTTTATTTGATGAAAAAATATAATTTTTCATCACTATTTATTAAAAATTAATGCTGAAAGAGATTGAGAAGTCATTACAGAACAAAACACAAATGTCAAATCTTAAAGGGAAAGTGTGACTAAATTTTAAGAGGATTTGAATATGAAAAGTGTGCCTTAAAATCACAAATCCATGAATGTCTTTTTGGAGGGATGTGGATCTCTAATAGTTCTTTTTTTCTAGTGAGAGTAAAGATAGCTTATCCTTTGATGTTTAAGCTGCGAATGTTAATGGCTTTTTGGTATTATGGATAAGTAAATGCTCTGGGTGATGACATTTTATAAATGATTTTGAATGTTATAATTCAACCTGGGCTCGCCCCTCTTATCTACTAGCATTAAGAACCAATATAGTATTTAATCAGCCTACCAGATTGTCCATGATTTAGAGATGTGAGCCTGTCCTGATGTATCTTCTAAGGGATCCAAAGGATGGTTTTCAGGGGTGTAGAAGAAGATTCTGAGCCAATTCAAAAAAAAAAAAAAACCTAAATTATCCATCCTAAATTTACTGCTTTACAATTTAGATAAAACTTCTTAAGGATCTGGTTCTCTTTTTGTTAGGAGGTTACACTTTAGAATAATCCTTTAAGCTTCTATTGACTTTCAAAACTTAAAAACTGAAATCTCTGGTTGAGGAACATAATTTCAAAACTAAAATTTTAAATTGCTTATCATCCATTAGTGGGTATCTCTCTGTAACTCTGCTTCCTCATGGTATGCAAAAGAACAGTAATTAGAACAAATGGTATGGGGCTGGGGCATAATGAACCAAGGGGTATATGTATTTGTTTATGTCACAGGGATGTACTTGCATTTCCTTTCAAAGTTTTGCTTTTTTTTAAACTGATCTTTTTAAGTTAAAAACACCTTACTCCCTTAAATATTTATTGGGAAATTTAAATAATATGACAGGCTTTCTTTTGAGTTTTGCATCATTGAAAATAGAGCAGTCCAAAGTCCAGGTTTATTTAGGTTTTTGTTTTTTTGTGTGTGTGTGTGTTGTAAACATATTAGAGTTTATTAGACACTTCAGTACCCCTTATACTTGTCAAGGTTTTATGCTTCCAAAAGAGACAAAGTTTCTTCCATCTGTAGAACTCCTTTTAGTCTGCATTTTTAAACTGGTAGTCTGCTGAGGATTCTATTTTTCTGTAAATATATATGTCATCTTAATTTTGGGATATTTTTACTAGAATTTTATAATTCTATAATTTCAGTTTTACTCTTTTCATATTCTAAATAAGTTATTCCATCATCTTCTGGCTTTCAACTGTTTTGTTTATAAATAACCTTAATATCATTATTGTTTTATTGTTCTTTTGAAGGTAATCATTTTTTCTCTGACTGATTTTAAGATTTTTGGATTTTTACAGTTTGATTATGGTGTACTACTGATTCCAACCTTGTTCTTTCTTGAATATGTGGGTTAATATATTTCACTACTTTGAGAAATTTATCAGCTGCTATTCTTTCAAATATTGCTCTGTTTCATTTCTTTCTTGTCTCCTTTGGGACTCTATGCATCTGTTATGCCTCTTGTAATCTGATGTGATTTTTTTTCCTTTTCATCTCTTTTTTTCATCCTCTCTACTTCAGTTTATTTTTTATTAAACTGTCTACAAGTTTACTAATCTTAGTTCTTGTTCTGTCCAATGACAAAATCATCAAATGAATGTGAAAGTTAAGATTTTGTATTTTTGAATTATAGGATATGTATTTCATTGTTTCTACAGTTTTCAAATTGGTTGAAATACTCCCTAACATCTATTTCCCTGTCTTTTTTTTTTCTGTGTATATATATATATATGTATTTTTTATTATACTTTGAGTTCTAGGGTACATGTGCATAACGTGCAGGTTTGTTACATACACTTGTGCCATGTTGGTGTGCTGCACCCATCAACTCGTCAGCACCCATCAACTCCTCATTTACATCAGGTATAACTCCCAATGCAATCCCTCCCCCCTTCCCCTCCCCATGATAGGCCCCAGTGTTTTTATTTAGGTTTTATTGACATTAATTTTTCACATGACTAGAAATGGAAAAAAAAATCAAACTTTCTGGTTCAACATGATTGAAACGGTATATGCAATTTATTTATATGTATACAAGAGTGAAGCAAGAATGACACTTGATAGTGAAGATCAATATAAGCAGCCATTCAAAGTCACCCATGGATAAAACATTAAGGCTGATTGTACTTATGTGAAGAAAAGTTGTTTAACCTCAGATGTAGTAAAAAATAATTATGACGGCTATAAACTCTAAAGAAAACTATGAGTGCAATGATTATTAGATACTATTTCAATATTGTATTTTACATAATGCATCTGGGTGATATATAGTGCTACCTAAAATTTAAGTATGTGACTAGATATAAGATTACGGCTAGCTATATTTGTTATATATACTTTGTTAAATATTATCATTATGAAGTTTATGTAGTAATCGAGATGAATAATTTTAATATATCAAAATTGTGTCTATACTATCATTACAGCTCAGTAAAACATTTCTCATAAGTAAAGAATAGATTTTGCAAGGGAAATAGTTGATAAATTAGGAAACCATAGTGAATTAACATTTTTTGCAAGGTAGACCAAAAATTTAAAGAAAAGAGTGAGGTCATAATTTTACACACAGTTAATATCACTTTTTTTTCTATTTAATGTGCCAAATTTTTGCAATATTTTTCTAGTATTAATTTAAAAAATCTTCTTTTGAAGTCTGCATATAACTACTCTTCTATTTTATTATATGGCCTCCTTTATTAATGGGGCACCTATTCACTGCACACTTCATGAAAGAGTGGATAACAAAATGTTATTCATATTGAGGAATAAAGATAATTTAGGCAAAGCACTTACTGAACAATTATCCTGAATGAGTCAAGGGAGCAATGCCCTCATGAAACTAATACTCACGTGTATGTAAACAGTTCAAAGTAGTTTTAGAGATAAATTAGTCAAACATCGTCCTCTGAGTTTGGTAATTATTCTCACACTTTATCATTTGATCTAGGTTCATAATATATAGAGGCCTCAAGGCCCAGGCACACATTAAGTTGGCAGAAATAAACTTATCATATAACTTCTTATTCATCACTTATCCCTTATTCATTCATATATATGTAATCTATTAACATGCCCATTACATCAAAATTATATCTTTTGCTCTGTCTAAAATATATCACTCACATTTCTGAAAAAAAAAAAGGATTAAACAAAAAAGTAAGTGTTTTGTTTGTTTGTTTGTTTTTTGTTTGTTTGTTTGTTTTGAGACAGAGTCTCGCTCTGTCACCCAGGCTGGAGTGCAGTGGCTGGATCTCAGCTCACTGCAAGCTCCGCCTCCCAGGTTTACACTATTCTCCTGCCTCAGTCTCCCAAGTAAAAAAGTAAGTGTTACATGCACATACATCATTATTTCAATTAGGTTATGTTATTTGTGATGTAGGATTTATATATAAACTTCAACTAATGCATATAAAAATATTTCAGTAAGTCCTTACTGTACCCCAGCAGAGGTAAAACCCCAAAGCACTTTATGATGTCTTTATTATAGAATTAGCTACTGCTGTAATTGTTAATTATTTTTCCTATAATTTGAGGACTCCTGGTTATATTGAAAGTTATCTTAGTGACTGACATAGAAATGTTGCTCATAAATTCTTACCAGAATAACTTCCATGTTCTTCCATGACCTAGCTAGTTAGCCCTTCCTTCGAATTTTAAAAAGTTAGTATAAAATAAAAGTATATATTTTATAGTGGCAGAAGTTTTATATGATAAAATTCATGCACTATGATTGTTCATGTATCTCACTACATACAGAAAGCTTTCAATGAGAAAGAAAAACAAAAACACCAACAAAAAGCAGATAGAACCAGACAAAATAATAATAATAGCAACAAAAATTCAGACAAAAATATAGGCAAGAAAAATACACCAAATCAAATAGCATAGTGATAATTTCATAGGCAATACAACTTGTAATAAAGTATAACAACTCTGTACCTTTTTATGAATTAAAATAACATACAAGTTTTTGAGAAAATACCACTGCTATTCAATGCAATTATAATATTTTGGATTTTTTATTTGCTTGTCTTGATTTTTCAACATTTACATGATGTACAAGTTGAGGTTTATCAGTAAAATTACCAAAATATGAAATATTAAACTGGAAAGACATGGATTTTAACAAACTGCATTTAGAACAAATATAAATTAACTGACAGGTAAGTGAGAACAATTACACAAAACAATAAAATAATGGAAACTCAAACTAAAAACCAGTATAGCAGGCCATATAGCCCATACCTAAACACTGGTAAGAGTAGTATTTCTGAGGTATCTTCTACTACCCTGGGATACCTACATGGGTAATAATCAACACTGAGTATTTCCTTTGCTATTGGCTTTAGGTGACCTGTTTTTTACACAGATTCATACATTTCGGTAGGGAATGAACTTTCTGAATTTTTTTCTCTCTCCCAACCAGTTTGCTTACCCCAGAAGAAATATTAAAAGAAAATAACTCTTAGAACATATACAAATGATGTTTTAAAAGCATATATCATACATAACTGTTTTAATAAAAAGACACTAAAGTTAAATACAGGTAGACTCAACATGAGGGTACTAATTTAGATTATACTTTTGCTTTTGTATGTGAAAAACAATTTGACTAGCGTTATCTTACTATATTCTTGGTCTAATGAACTAAACACCATTTAATTTCACAATTTCTATTTGGTTTATGATGACCCCAGGTATTTCAAAACAAAATGATGAATATGAGGAATAATTATTGGGGATTACTATACAAGCCAACATTATTCATTTTAAGTAAGTGTTCACTATACGTATAGTGCTGCATATCTTTATTAAACCATATTAGACCTCATGATTAATCAAAACTTGTTATGGATGGCTTCCATTTTGACAGTAATTGCCATTGTATAAATGTATGTTCATATTGCTTAACATACCTGAAAATTTATTGTTTTTAATGAAATTTTTATTTTAAAAAAGATTATAAAATACCACGGTTTGCCCTAGAAATCATGATTAATAATTAGAAGAATTATTAACTCTTATCAACTCTTACAGATTTGTCTAAAAGTTTGTATCAGCTAAACAATTACGAATCTTACTTAAAGCGTATGTAAAACAATTTATAATACATTGTATGAGATTGGTCAGGGTGGTGGGAAAAATTGTAGAAAGGTGTGTGTGAGTGAATTTTTTCATCCGTTGCTCAGTCACGGTCTGTGCGCTGGACCCAGCAATACATTGCAATTAAATGAATTCTTGAAAATAAGCAATTGTAAAAGGCATTGACTATGCTGATATTGTATCAGTGTTAAAATTCCTGTGTGTAAGAATTTTAATATAGCCATGTAGGAGAGAGTCGTCGTTTTCATAATGATAAATGTTAAAATATTTAGGGGTGCA